AGATTGTGGGTTTCTAGTTCTTCCCCTCTCCAAAAAAAAAAAAAGTAAGAAAAAAGAAAAGAAAAAAAGAACCTCGTACAGTGGCTCACTCCTGTAATCCCAGAACTTTGGGAGGCCCAGGAGGGTGGATCACCTGAGGTCAGGAGCTTAAGACAAGCCTCACCAACATGGCGAAACCTCTTCTCTACTAAAAATACAAAAAAATTAGCCAGGCATGGTGGCAGATGCCTGTAATCTCAGCTACTAGGGAGGCTAGGGCAGGAGAATGGCTTGAACCTGGGAGGCGGAGGTTGCAGTGAGCCAAGATCGTGCTATTGCACTCCAGCCTGGGTGACAAGAGAGAGGGTCACTCTCAAAAAAAAAAGAAAAAGAAAAATAGATTATGGTTATGGTTCAAACTATTTGGCAAAAGACAGACAAAATTATAGGCTATGCATGGTGGCTCACACTTGTAATCCCAGCACTTTGGAGGCAGAAGTGGGCAAATCACCAGACGTCAGGAGTTTGAGATCAGCCTGGCCAATATGGTGAAACCCCATCTCTACTAAAACTACAAAAATTAGCTAGGTGTGGTGGTGGATGCCCGTAATCCCAACTACTTGGGAGGCTGAGGCATGAGAATCGCTTGAATCCAGGAGGCATTCATGATGTACCTAACTTTTTCTTATTCATTTATTTATTTTTTAAATATTTCTAGGCTAGGTTTGGAAGTTTTTTCAAATGGTCATAAGTCTTCACAAAATTTTCCAATATAGTTATTGGGAAAAAAAAAAAAAGCCCACATATAAGTGAATCTGTCTAATTCAAACTGATGATGTTCAAGAGTCAACTGTATTGAGCTTTGCATCTGATTGTGAGAGTGAAGTTGATAATGTTGATAAGAGGACATAAGTGTCTCCACAATGGTAACGAGGAATTCTGGCAACTTATTCAGGGCTTTGAGGATTCTAGTTCTTTGCTGGGATCAGAAAAGGGGCCTTTTTACTTAAATAAAAGCTATGACTATATGAAAACTCAGACCAAAATACATTTTAAAAATATTTTCTGATATCTCTTTGTATAGGAACAGCAAAACATTTCACTTTGTTTGTTTGTTTGTTTGTTTTTTGAGACAGAGTCTTGCTGCAATGCCCAGACTAGAACGCAATGGTGTGATCTCAACTCACTGAAACCTCTGCTTCCCGGGTTCAAGCAATTCTCCTGCCTCAGCCTCCTGAGTAGCTGGGATTACAGGTGCATACCACCATGTCCAGCTAATTTTGTATTTTTGTATGGGTTTCACCATATTGGCCAGGCTGGTCTTGAACTCCTGACCTCAAGTGATCTGCCCGCCTTGGCCTCCCAAATTGCTGGGATTACAGGTGTGAGCCACTGTGCCAGCGAACATTTCACTTTATATTTTAAGTTAAAGGAACATTTTAGCTACTTTGCTGTCATTTTCAAAAGAAACTGGTAACCAAAAAAATACTGGAAAGTAATACATATCTTAACTGAAGTTGTTTTGAGAGGTACCTGTAGTGGATATTTTATTTTTTCACCTGCTCATCACTATATGGTCTCTTCTGGTAAAAGAATCTTGATTTTCTTTTGGAGGATGACCTCTCCCCCATTTTTCTGTCGCTAGATTTTTTTTTTTTTTTTTTTTTTTTTTGTTTTTTTTTTTTTTTTTTTTTTTTTTTTTTTTTTTTTTTTTTTTTTGAGATGGAGTTTTGCTCTTGTTGCCCAGGCTGGTGTGCAATGGCATGATCTCAGCTCACTGCAACCTCCACCTCCTGGGTTCAAGGAATTCTCCTGCCTAGGCCTCCTGAGTAGCTGGGATTACAAGCATATGCCACCATACCCAGCTAATTTTGTGCTTTTAGTAGAGGTGGGTTTTCTCTATGTTGGTCAGGCTAGTCTCAAACGTCCCACCTCAGGTGATATGTCTGCCTTGGCCTCCCAAAGTGCTGGGATTACAGGTGTAAGCCACTGTGCCCGGCCCTGTCTCTAGATTAAGGTATATGAATTTGCCAATGAGACATAAGCTCAAGATTTTATTGAAACTACTGGGAAATAAGTGCTCTGCTTCTTTTGGAATGTTTAGCTATAAAGACGATACAAGTTGAACATTGGGGAAAGGTGGCAAGAAATCACTATGTGAGAACAAACTCTTTGAAGTCAACAAAGAGAAAATGAGAGACTACGTCCTGATGTCATTGTTTGCATTCCTGGTTGTAGGCATATCTGAAGTTACCTATCTATGGATTTTTCAGTTATTAAGCCAAATACACTCCTTTTCTTAAATTGGTCTGAGTTTAAAATTTTGACACTTGTAAGGAAAAGCCCTACGTTTCATAGCACAAAATAATTCCATTTATTACACATCACAAAATGTCTAAAAATCCTCTTTCATATCTTTCTATACCTTAGTGTCATTCAGAATGTCAGCTGTGCTAAATCCCTAGTCTCTCAAAACTCGCAGAAACTGTCTCTCCTAAAGTCAGCTCATTCTAGGTCTTTTTTTCTTACTCTCTTACTCAAAACTTTGCTGGCTGTCTTCCTCATGCCCACTCCATCCATCCCACCTTCACCAAAACAAAAAATCTAACTGAGCCTTGCAGATCAGCCTAACCTTCTGAGGCTCCTTTTGCTTCTTTACCTCTATTCCTTATTGAGATCAGCACAATTAATGCCTGTCTGAACAACAAATGACCCTTTCTCTTGGGAAGGCTGAAAGTATGGAAATGTTTACATGTTAAATGTTCTGTTCTGGTCTCATTTGTATTCAGTACAAATAGTGTGTTTGCTTGGACATTAATTCTATTTGCAAATAGCTACAGCTGGAGGTCTCTTTGGGTAAGTCTTGCTAAGATACCGCACTGATAGGTTTTTTGTTTATTTGTTCATTTTGTTTTTGTTTAGTTTTTTAAGGGGATGGGGAAGGAATCAAAGTAGTCATATCAGTTTGGTCGTTTTTACAAGCCTGAGAAATAGTCAAATTCTGGATTCAGACCAAGCACACCATAGTGTGCTAGAGGCAATTTAATGACTTCCCACTCTCTTGCCTTTTTCCCCCTCTTTGGGAACATTCTTGGGTTTTCTACAGAAACAGCCAGAGTCTCTCAAGTGACAATTGCTTCACTCAGCAGTTTCTTGTTAAGCACATTTATCAGACACTGTGCCCAGGACTCTCTCAAGTGTCCTAAGAATATTGACTCATTCAAAAGCAGCCCAGCTGTAGTTGGGAGAGCACCAGCACTTGCTCTATAAAGATCTAAATTGTCTCTCTACCTCAAGAGGAATCCGAAATCCTATTTTGCTGGACACTCAAATGATCCCCAGCCATTTTGTGATCACACTGTTTGTGAGCACCCTGAATTCCATTTTTGAGTCTACTTAAACTGGCAGCCTCGGGCTATGGGGCCCAGTGGGGAGACCACCTAGCATGCTGGCTGCCTGGAGCCCAGGGAACTGTCAAGATGGCTCTGGAAGACTTCTCACCTTTTAAAAGCCCCGTATTTCGCTGGGCGCGGTGGCTCAAGCCTGTAATCCCAGCACTTTGGGAGGCCGAGGCGGGTGGATCACGAGGTCAAGATATCGAGACCATCCTGGTCAACACG